ACTACCACTACCACTACCACTACCACTACCACTACCACTACCACTACTCCGACTACGGCTACGACTACGACGACTACTACTACTACCACCACCACCACTACTACTACTAGTAGTACATGGCCGGCCGGCCGGCCGCTATGGCCAGCCGGCCGGCCGGCCGCGGAAGAAACCGCTACTACCACTACCACTATACCACTACCACTGCCACTGCCACTACCACTACCACTACCACTACTACTACTACTACGACTACTACTACTACTACTACTCCTACTACTACTACTACTACTACTACATGGCCAGCCGGCCGGCCGGCCGCTATTTGGCCAGCCGGCCGGCCGGCTGCCAGCGAAATAGCAGGCCGGGTTGCCCGCGCTGTCATGCATTTGTTGAAGCTTTTGTTTGCGCATGGGGGCTTTAATGCTCATCAGACCATTTTAGGTCAAGAATGGACGAATGGCAGCTGGTGAGAAACCATTGATTGGTAGATGTATTGCGCGTCGCCTCGCGGAGGTCTCGCGTACCCTCGCGAGGCCTCGCCAACATACACACCCACTTTCTAATATACATTACTATGTCTGTATATATGGAGTCCGGCCAAAAGTCTATAATCAAAAAAATAGATAAAGGGGTCGAAAGTAGCTTATGATGTTGTTTTTTCATTTAGATTATGTAGCGGGCCCCCAGCTAAACACACCTATTCTGCAGCTGGGCGCTAGGCTTGCGGTAGACTTGCGCTAGTGACGCAAGTGTTTGCCTTAGGACATGTTCAGAACGTCGTCAGGTTTTTGAAAAGTGGCTGGCTGAAAAATGCGCTAGCCTCGCGCTAGCACTGCGCTAGATCCGCGCTAGCAAACATTGCCAGATTCCAACCATGGCTTGCAACATGTCTTGCAACTAGTTTGCCGTGGACCCTACCAAGGCTGACTTGCAACATGTCTTTTGTTTCAAGCATGGCTTGAAGCTCGGAGATCAGCTGAAAACGGTGCAGGGCTAGTGACGCCTCTTACAACTTGGCGCCAATACTTGTTTGGTCCATGTTTCCTTCATTAACCAGCTGTGTGCGCCAAAAGTAAAGAATATGTAGCGGGCCCCCATGTGAACACGACTTGCGGCCATTTTTGGAAGAAGACATTTCGACCAGATCCCAATATATATATATATTATTTATCTCATTACCACTTCGAAAGGCAGCAACAGGGTATATTGGGAGGTCATGGCTTCTCAATAGTTGACTGCTGACTGGTTGAAGAGGCTGTGGCCATGGGATTTCCACCCATCATCGAGCAACATGTTGTTTCTACTGCTACGGCCTCCGGCAAGAGCAACGCGAAGTTTCATACCTAATGCATCGTTTCAAGATGTTACGTGGGTCAACTATTCAGATTTGGTGGTCACGAGCATGGGCTTCCGCAAGGGGGTTCAATGCTTCCGCATGAAGGATAACAAACTTTTAGATTACTTGAAACAGCTGTGGCCATGGGGTTCCAGGTGCGTGATGTGCCTTTCGTAAACATGATGTGCCTTTCCCTAAACACTGTGGCCATTCAGTGATGTGCCTTTCAGACACGTGATGTGCCTTAGGGCGCCCGCTTGTAGCAGAAGTAGCACTTCATCACCGGTAGAATCGTGCACAAAATTCATCCTCAGCTTTCCGCTTGCCATTAAATTTGCGCATTTCATGACTCTGAGCCTGCTTCTCCGCCGAATAAGCACGCGACTCTGCACTCGTCCCTATGGTGGATCTATCGGTCGATCGATCCATCCATCCATCCATCCGTCCATCCGTCCATCCAATATTATTTGTACACACGTGTGTTGCAGCATCTCACCCTTTGCATTGATATGCTGAGTGATCCACCACTGTAGTGGTGTGCACAAAACTTGATACTTTTCTGCCTTGCAGACCCCTAGGTACTGGCAGAAGCAAACGCAAGGTGACCCGTGCAGCAAAGGCTGAACTTCGATGGAAACTATCAACATTTTGTAGTTTCAATGTGAAGCCTCCCTGTGTGCTGTCGAACCCATGAGTGCAGGAAAACATGACACGTATTTCCGTGCTGCACCCAAGATGCATTCATCTGCTGCTTTCACTGAGTTCAACAAATACTATAGGCCGGCCTGAATGGTAGCTCAGCAAAAGTAGCAACATGTGATAATGCTTGCACTCAGGCTCAGAGTACATCCTGGCAGTGGATCCTGGGCCCAAACGACCACCGTGCGGGTTTGAACGGATATGACAAAGGGGCAAAACATATATACATAGACATAGGACACAACTAGGTGAAACAAATTTGACAACCAATTTAGTTAATCAAACCGGTTATAGCCATTCTTTTCGAGACTCAGTCTGAAGGGTTTCTCGCTGTGGTAGTTTGAATGTGTCGGCCAGGCGTTTATACCCATGCAGTTGGAGTCTTGGTCGTGAAGAAAGTGTCACGGGTGATTGGCAGTGATTAGGACAAAACTGTCTTCAGGCCAACATCCAGAAGATTTTGGTTTATGGGCAGGCCGACATTGAGATTTCTTGAAGCAAAGAGTCACGCTGTTTCCAACATGTGTTAGGGGAAAAACCTGTCGTCTTACCTCGAGGCTCAATACGTCATCAACTTCACAGAGGGCCCTTCGAAAGAAGATGTGGAGTCGCACTGGAAGAGCAATGGCAAGGCGACAGAGGCGCATTTTTTCAACCCTTGCTTCCTTGCACTAGTCAACTTTCGGTTGTTTTTTGTAGATGTTGCAGAGTTTGATCGTTGCAGAGTTCTTGCAGGAAGACATACCATCTTTTGTTGCACGTCTTGCTCCGCAGCCAGCGAAGGTGCGATTTGTAGCGCAAGGTTCGCCTGGGCAGATCCAGCCAGACCGTAGGATGGCAATCATGTTTGGGCAGAGCGATGATCCCAAAACTGACTGTTAGGCCTAAAGTCTAGTCCAGTTGACTGAAAGCTTGGCGTAGCGCAGGAAAAATCCTGGAGGAGGCTTTTTGAGAAGATAGTTGAAGTTGAGAGCACTTTGGAGCAGCATTACACTTTGGTGCATCAGAAACTTCGACTATCCTATCCTGGAACAGTTGATCGTATGACTTCTTCCAAGGAGTTTTCCTCCCTGTGAATTTCTTTGCAGCTTGGCAAGATTTCCACTCATTCATATCACATGTATATTGTATTACACATTATATAGACGTTAAACATTTCTGCCTGCAGCATGAGTGACGATTTTGAGCAAGGCATGCCTTGTCCCGAATCTCCACAGAAGTGAGAAGGTCGGACTCGTGGACACCGCACCTCTCGCTGACCACTGGGAAGACTTCCGCAACATTGTGAAGAGCCTTCTCTTAAGCTCTTCATCATTCTATGCGGAAGTCTTGTTGCAGGTCTTGTTGGCTGTTGCAACATGCCCAAATCAGGACCGGCGAGACTTGTGTTTTGATCGTATGCAACATGGAAAACATCGGTGTGGCACTTTGTGCGTGCTCAACACTATTGAGGATCAGTGTAACGTGTTCCCTGCTTGTTTACTTTTCCCTTTTTTGAGGAGATCTTTCGCTTGCGGGAGTGTGAGGCAATTGTGCAGGATTCTTAATAGAGGCATCAGCTTTACAGATTTACTGTGCTTTTGCTTTTAGTTTCATATCATATCCATGCCTGCGAAAGCCCCAATACAGTACCTGTGCACCCCCATTACTCTTGAGGTTTGGAAACTATTTGAAGGATGCGTGTCACCCTCTGCATCAACTGTGACAGAGGTCCTTTAATTGGACTACAGTCAAGTACACTCAGCTCTTCGATTTGGCTATTCAGGCTCGTCACTTGTCGGCTCGAAGTTAATTCCATTTCGGACTCACAGACTGAACCTCGCTTCGTTGAACAGGCACTCACTTCGCTATTAGCCTTGCTTTGCATCTCAACTCTCCGAGACGAGGTTCGAGAGTGACACCTCATCAAATTCTCAGGACTCATGACACGACAATCAGTGGCTTTCAGGCACCGGAGTGGTGTGGCAGCTTGACAATATTTGCCCGAGCCAGAGCATTCTGAAGAATCTGGAATGGTGATGGGACCAAAATCAAGTAGAGTCGAAGAGGGCGCTGCTTTGATCAAGGCTGGGCTGGGGCTGCCCCTGGTGGTGCTCACCATTCTAATGAGACTGGGAGAGGTGCATTTGCAAGCCACGAGTGCTAGATTCTCCGTAAACCATTGCAGTCGCAGGTCATTGGCAATGAAATACGGAAGGCTTGGGATATGTACCTTGAGGTGTCGGTCTCGGACTAGCATTGATTCTGGTCAAATGCAAACTCAGAACAAAGACTCAAGAAACATCAATCAACCATTAGTCACATCCAAGATTCTGCTCCATTTGGCCACACTGGTGCTGTTTTCGGCCTTGAACTCAGAGGAGTGCCTTTCCTCACACTTTATCTAGTGCCGTTTGATTTTGGTTCATTCTTGAGGTTTTCCTGAGCAAAGGACAGGTGACCTGTTCAGATCGTGGTGTAGTGGAGAACTCAAGAATCTTTTGCATCATGTTGTTGCATGTGAACCGCCAAACTCCGTGGAGCAGAAGATTCATGATCTAAGATCGACAACCTGTGGATGCGAGCGTTCATCATCGTTGTCAGCTCCTTGCGCTTGATGTGCTGCTGCGACATGCTGTAGTGAGCCCAGCACTTGATGCGTCTTGTGGAGAAAGTCATCACGCCTCATGCAAGCCTTGCAAGCCTGCCTGGCAAGCCTTATTCTCTCCGACCTTTGTCCTCCCCTTTACTCAGGAGGCTTGCCTACTCAGAGGTGAATATGATCGTCACACCCATCGTCTCAGCATTGGCCAAGTCTTTGCCGTCTGGACCTGAAAGAGGCTTTGAAAGACAGAAGCGAGCAGAAACACAGAAGGTGGACTTGAAATAAGACCCGCGGACTTATTAAAGAGGCCCAAGACCACCTCTTTTTGTCCAGATACCGGTCTATTTCGGCTGTTTGTTGCATTTTCGGCCCTGGAAGATTGGCTCAGACGTGGAAAAGCCAGACCAACACAGACTGAACCTCTTCAAGCTTGAACACCAGTGGCCAATGGCAGTTACAATTCTTGACAAGAATCAAGCACAGCGGAATCGGAATGGATGACTCAGCTGACCACTCTGCTTTGCATCATCATCTTGGGCGAGAAATTGGGAGGCCACCACCTGTTGCATCTTGCAGCATTTTGCAGAAGGCATCCCAATCAACAAGAACATAATATATGGTTACCAAACGAGTTACTGTAAGAAAAAAACAACTAACCAATTACACAATATGTAATCTCCACTAGTCCTCTCCTCTGTCCTTTCCTCCAGTCTTGAATTCTCACAAACAAGGTGGCGAAAAGTTGTTCGACACAGATGATTCCCTATATACACAGTGTATACACTCTTTTGTTTGACAGCGAACTCTTGCCCTGAAGGGCTCTACTTGTCCTCTTCCCTAACCTTGAATTTCAGCACCGAGTCCAAGTTACCTGTCTCCTCATTATCCTTGCAAGGCAAGGCCGTGCCCGACGAAAGCATGAGCAAAGTACTCGAATCAGTAAAAGGTGCTTCCTAAACTAGTTGCGCTGCAACCAGAATCGCATCAGAACCCTGCCACAAATTTGTTTCTTCCAACAATACACCCTTGCAAACCCCGACAGCCCGTTGCAGTTGGCCATAGTGCTGTTGCAGTTGGCCGTAGGTTGTATGTTCATACGGGGAGGCGCTGCGCCTCCCCCCAACCCCCCTCCCGCACCACTTTCTGCAAACAAATCATAATATCATGTTGTTTGAAAGCAACTCTGATATTTTTTAAAATTGCACTAAACATTATACCAGCATAGACCCCAAACAGTGTCAGCATTTTTTGGTGTCGGCGTCAACTCCGTGAATTCCAATGCTGGTGGAAACGCCTGCAAGTATACTTTTCCATAGCCTCTAGCTGTTTGGGGACTGCACCTAACACAAAATGTTTGAACACACTAGTCACTGATGCCCGTGTCACATGTGCAAAACCGATGGGATATCTGATATCGTATATATATATATGTCATGAGAAAATCCGAGGGTGATATCACTTTTGAAACGCAGTATCACTGGAATTCATAGCCACACGAAAACATACCCAGACAAGGCGGTGGAGAAAGAAAAAGCGGCGTGGCCAAGCAGGGGACAACGCCGGGACAAGGCGGTGATAAAGGGGCCGACAACGTGGACAAGCAGGACAGGCAGACCTGGACAAAGGACAAGAGGACGACACAGAGTTTGCAATCGTGGCACCAAGAGGACAGACAGGGTTTGCAAACGTGGCCACTAGACGCAGGAGGAGGCCACCAGGGGGACCAGAGAAGGACACAGGGTTCGCCAGTGCAGCCAGAGGACGGCAGCAGCAGGAGGACAGCTGGAGGACAAGCAGAGGACAAGAAGAGGACAAGACGAGGACAAGAGGAGGACAAGAGCAAGACATGACGAGGACAAGAGGAGGACAAGAGCAGGCCAAGAGAAGGGCAAGACTAGGACAAAGGGAAGGACCTAAGAGGAGGACAAGAGGAGGGCAAGAGAAGGACAAAAGGAGGACAAGAGGAGGACAAGAGGAGGGCAAGAGAAGGACAAGAGGAGGACAAGAGGAGGATGAGAGGGTGACGAGGAGGACAAGAGCCGAAAAGGGGAGGACAAGAGGAGCGCGGCCAAAGGCCTTTCGGCCGGGCCCGCTCCTTCATTGGAGCATCATCAACTTCAAAACTTTCTATTCCGGCCAGCTGGCATTGAGCTGGGCCAGAAATTCTGCAAGTCCTGTGCGGTGTCATCAGGCTCCTCTATAGCATGCACACTCTCCGGCGCCCTCACTCCGCGTTGCTGCAGCTCAGCGCCAAAAGCAGCAGCGCTGTCCCCCATCGCTCCATACAGCTCAGGGTCTGCTGGCCAAAAGAGTGTGCTGGCCAGCGCCTGCAATTGTGACTCGTGCCTCAGTGTGAGGGAGACAGGAGCTGCCCCACAGTTGCTGGGTCTGGGATTGATGCTGCTCGGAGTCACTGTTTTTGCCTCTTCCTTTGCCCTCGCCCTTGCCCTTCTGTCGAAGTCCTGACGACTCCTCAGGGTCCTCCTCCGGCTTGGCCCTCTTCAAAGGGGGTTGGGCCAAGAGGCCGCCCACTGCATCCAGTCCGTCTCTTCCATTCCGTTGTCGAGCGCAGACATAGGACACAGGTTGAGGGCGACAGGGCGCCGCTCTGACACCATCGGCAGCATCCCAGCTCTTCAGGGCTCACCACCTGTTCATAAGTGGACAGGAGGACAGCTTGACCAATGTGGTGGTGGGTCATCATGTGATCTTGCAGATCGTCAACAGGCAAGTGCTTTACAGGCAAGGCAGCGTGCTTCAAGGCTCGGGCGGAGATGTGGCTGGCGCCAGATGGAGGCATAGTTGGCTGCGTCCACCAGAGCCCGTAGCCTGTGGGGGACCTGAGGGTGTTGGCTCGGTTGGAAGTGGTGTGCAAGGATGCCGGCCTGGGGCAGAATGGGACACTTGTGACCGGACTTGGCTGGGCGAGGGACAGGGCAATAACAGCGCTGGGAGTCCTGGAAACTTGCTGTAGACATGTTGAACCCAGTCATGGGCCGCCTTCATAATCTCTGCATGATCTCTCGTTGTGGCGCCGCGTGCATTTTCGGACATGGTGGTTGCGTACTTTTCGTGGCAGGTGCAAGGGAAACCTCGAGTTTCGGTGGTGCAAGGCCGACTTGTCGCGACAGGCGCAAGGGATCGGAGCTTCGAAATGCAGATTTCATGGCAGGTGCAGCGCTTTGGACATGGTGGTGATCTTCGAGGCGCTCTGATTTCGTGACAGGCGCAGTGAATCGTGACTTTTGGACATGTGGCTCGTTTGCAGATTTCGTGGCAGCGCTTTGTGTCCCTCAAAGTGCACATTTCGTGGCAGGCACAGCGCTTTGTAGATTTCGTGGCAGGCGCAGCACTTTGTGAGCCTCGAAGTGCAGATTTCGCGACGTGCAGCAATTTGTGAGCCTCAAAGTGCACATTTCGTGGCAGGCCCAGCGCTTTGTGAACCTTGAAGTGCAGATTTCAGATTTCAAGGCAGGCGCAGCGCTTTGTGAACCTCAGAGTGCAGATTTCGTGGCAGATTCTCACTCTCACGCTCTCACCCACTCTCACTCTCGACTCATTCTCACCCACGTTCACCCACGCTCTCACCCACGCTCTCACCCACGCTCTCACCCACACTCACATTCACACTCACACTTGCTCTCACTCTCACTTTTACTCTCTCACTCTTACTTTGTCACTCTCACTCTCTCACTCTCGCTCTCTCACTCTTTCACTTTCACTCCCTCACTCACAATCACACTCACCGCCACCATCACCACGATCTCCACCTTCATCACCTCTCTGGACCCCAATGCGTCTAGATCTCTAGACTTTCTGCTGCTTCACATCTAGAGCTCACACAGACTCACACACACTGATTGGGGTCTCTTGCTGGGATAATTTTAAGGGAGGACCCCAGCAGTAAACTCCCCAACAGTAAGCTGTCTGGGGAACAGCTGATTTTCCCAAGTTTGCAAAGCCCGAGTGCACTATTGCCCACCACTGTCGCTAGTGTTGCAACTAGAAGTATTACGGTTAAAGTTGCTGCTACCGGTGGTGCCGCTACAACCTATTCCGTTCTCTTCTTTACAGGTACTTGACTAAGACCTCCACTCTTCCAAAGCTGACTCAGGCTGACGTAGACACAAACTCTTGCAAAATCTGCAAGGGTGGATACCCAAACCTCGCAAATGAGGGTGCCAGGTTGCTGCGGCTACTGACAAAGCGATTGTGAACTTTGACCCCCACAAAGCGATTATAAACCTGACAGGACAAGGCTTTCACTCTTGCAAAACCCCACCAACGGTGGATGCTACCCCCAACCCCCTCCCCCTCCACGAAATCTATGTGGCTACAGCTGGAGAAACCTTGCACGGGGACCCAGGGACGGAATATAGATTCTGGTTAGAATGGTTTAATTGTATTTTTTTGATGTTACCGAATTAGTATTAAATGTTACTTGATTGGATGAACTGTGTTTTCAGGCTTGTGCTGGTTTTGCTGCCCGGAACTGTAGAGACTTGTCTGCACCAAGCCGTCCAAAAGCCTGCACACTCTTGGAATTTGGTGCCAAGGTTTGGGCCGCTGTGAGCCGTCAGTCAAAGGTGCGTCTAGAACAAAGGGCATGTTGGATCAACAGGTTTTGATGCCTTGAGCTATCCAAAAACAACTTTGGCACGGGCATTCAGGTGGTTGCGGCCTTTGCACAGTTGGGTGACCTACAGGAACGGTCTGACCGTCAGCAAGCATTGGCTACAAAGGCTGTTGAGGTGGACAAGTGCCTTGGCCCGAGAGTTTCCATATTGCATCCACAAGCAGTACACAATGGATCAGCAGATAGTTTTGGACAAACCAAAAGAACGCGAATACACTTGGGCACACTGAATTTTGGGTCAAGCTCTCCAACTTCATTGCAAAGCCATGAGATGTGCTGTTGTTGCTCTCAGGCAGTGGTTTATGATCGGAGTTACAAATATGATTCTCAGTGCCTACATACTGGGCGCTTTCCCAAACCTTTACTACCTCTACTTCACGCCGAAGGTTCTTACGCTGATCATAGTACGTTTGGTGAAGTTTTATCGGAAAAAGCAGCATTTCCTTCTGCATCCTGGCTGAACCTGGGGCGTCTCGATTATTTCAAAGAAATGCCAGATGACGGGATGCCGAGAATAGTTGGTGTTGGAGGCCATTGCTTCTAGGTTGGACGCTATTAGGTTGGAGGCCATCGCTATTGGCAAAGCTGTGTGTGTGCGCCATGAGTCGACAACACAAAAGCTTTTACAGAGGCCACAAGAAGCAGTTTCGGGATCAAAAGGCTCCGGTCCACAACATCCCTTTTGCATCAGCTAAGTTGGGATTTCTGCTACTGGGCGAATTTCCTTTGTATTTTCTACTGCTGGGCCGAAGACTTAGAATTTATATAATTGAAATTGCGTATTGAGCCTGAAGATTCGTCTAGACTCTAGACTTGATTCAACAAAACATGCTTAAGCCAAATCACTGAAGTCTCCGAGGTGATGCCAACATCTCCAGCAGTTTTCCGCAACTTGCCTCAACTCAAAGGTTCTTTAGATCCTATGCTTTTAAGCACCTACCCTTCAGGCACTGTATTCATGTGTGCAAATGGCCCGTTGGCATGGAGCGTGCTGGCCTTCAACCATGCAATGATTTTTCATTCCTATGTTTCCTGGCAGCTATCAGATGCAAATTTTTCAGTTCAGCCAGCAACACGCTTCTAGGGGCTCCTGGCATCGCCATTAGGAGCAAGGACGCTACTAGGGGCTCCTGGCCTTACTACTAGGAGCAAGACGCTACTAGGGGCTCCTGGCCCTAGCCATTTTGCCTGACAGGCCCACATGACATCCGTTGTGGTACATGTTTCTCCTCTGCTTTTGTCCTATGGACTTCGCTGGTATGCGGCACCTATGTCAGAGTCTTCCATGGGAGCGAAGCATTTCCTTGTGTGCGACGGTGATGCTGAAAGTTGTCTGAATGTATCCTTTCAAGATTTGCTGTGCGGAACCCTGGTGCGGTTCTATCTTTGGTGGCTTGTTCTCTACTACATTTGGATCTTCGTCGCCTTGGGCTCCTACATTGAACGGCATGCTTACCAGACCCTTTGGGATCGTATACTTGCGTGGTACCTCAGAGTGTCGGACACATTTGTGGGCCCATGCCCACCTCGTGCAGTTCCGTATCCGATGCATCACGACATCATATGAGCGACAGATGAGCTATACCATTTGATTTGCATCACGGTACTTTTTCGATGCATTTGGTGCTGTCATGAGGTCATGAAGCCAGTGGGACCTTTCTTGCAGAAACTTCTCAAAAGCTGGCCAAAGCTTCTGGTGCAGCTTGTGTACTTGTCTTCCTGCCACGCTTAATTTGTCTATGCAGACTGTTTTCTAGTCAGAATCGATCCAGTTGACTACTCTGTAGATATTTTTGCAACCATCCAGTCCATCATGTAAGAGAAATGGATAGAATTTAAGCTCTACGTAAGGTTTCGATGCTAAGGTCAAGGTTTCGATGGTCACTCTAGGTTCAAGCTCTCATCTGGTAGGCCTGTTGTCTTTTAGTTGGTAGTATTCCACAATCCCGGTGCCAGGCTTGTACATTTGGTGTTCTCAGCTGGTACGATGTGCGTTGCTGTGGTCCTGTGGCACTCGCAGTTGGCGCACTTTATGTTTGTATGCACAATTGGGCTGTCTACCATAAAGAGACATGGCAACAAAGGTTCTAAGAGGTCTAAGAGCATTGCCCCCGCAGCCTTCATGTCAGTGTCTTTCTTGTCTCATCGACTTTAAGCCATGTAAACGAAACCAGATGTCAGGCCGTGTCACTTAGCTCCAGCATTGGCCGTTCTTGAAATCTTGAAATGCCAGATAGATCCCAAGAGAGTCCTTTTCCAAAACTTGCTGAGTTCTCGTTTGGCTTTTGGCAATTGCCGAGTTGTTTTTGTCTCAGGAATGCGGCTGAGTTTTACTTCGATGTCATTGGCAGCAAGTACGAAGAAGCTGCTGCAAACGCAAAGGTTCCTGTAACTTGGCCTGTGTCCGCTCAGAGCAGCAGACACAAGCTCAGTTTTTGTACAAATAGCTAGTAGTCACAAGTGATTTGTTTTGTTTTTAATCTCTGGCGATGCAGTGGGAAGGGGGCCCACAGTAGAGGACTACTTTTCAAAATCAGTTCTAGGATGCCAACTCAGAAGTCGCCAGAAACTTTCTCAGGTGAGCAAAAAGATTCTCAGTGCTTCTGGAGCTTTGAGTGAGCTGTCGGAACCCATGAAGAAATGAGGCAGTGCTGCATGCTTGGCTCCATGTCTATCCTGTCCGAAAAGGAACATTAAAAATGCTATACTATACATACAAATATCGTCCTTGCGATTTGGAAGTGGGCTGGCGGCAAACAAGAACATGAGATCCTTTGCATTCCTTTAAACGATTGATCAGGTTTCCAACATGGAGACAATATGCTCACTGCATATTTCAATAATTATTTGGTGGTTTAAAAGCTGGCTTGACAAAGTTTCGAGCACAGTGCAACAGGTTTAGGAAGGTTCGAAGACCTAGAATCTGCCAACGAAGTGATTCAATGCAGACAGCGTTGCGCATGGTCGTCAAAGATGTGATGGCTTGTTGGTGGCTCTATTTCTTTCAACATGCTGGCTGAGGTTTTGCATAGCAGTGATCTACTTTGCCCAAGCCATAGTGTTTGATGTCTCGAGTTTTAACTAGATGAACAGGCCACCCAGGCCACCAAATACCTTGAAATAGGCTTGATGGATGTGAACAGCGGCCTTGTTTCATGTTGTCTCAGCCCTCCGACTAGTGTAGGAATCCGAAGTGCTTTGTTGCCATCAGATCCTGAGTTCTCTCGAGGCCTTCATCATGTGGCAAGCATACTGGACACTGGATGTGGAGGAATGGCAGAATGGCTGGAAGGTTTCCACCTTATCAGCTTTTCAGAGAATTCTTAGGACCTAGGACAAGCTACCTGTTGGGTTATATAAGTGGCCAGGCAGTCATCATTGCATGGCGCTTTGCCATTTTGGGTGATTTCGAAGTGGATGAACTTGAAGGTCAAGAAGGCTCGCACTTGAGAAGATTCAAGTGACAGACAAGTGACATGGCAAGCTTGGAACTTTCAATGCATCTCTTGAAACCTGAGGTACTTGGCATCAGGCCAGCTTAGATTGGTGCGGCTAGGCTCGAAATTAGCATCTCCTGCTTGAGGTAATTGACAATGAGGGTGGAACTATGCTCACCTATGAGGCTTGAACGTCTACAATTAACATGGCACGATTGTTTTACTTTTTTCAGTTCATTCTGCCCTGGTTCGCACAGCAGGATCCTGAGCTCACAAAGAACGCTACAGTGGTGTTTGGCTCAGAGGACAGAGCTTTTTGCTTTCTGAATGGATCAGATTAGCTTCCGAGGTTCGTGGTGTTTTCATTTTGCTCTGCGGCATCATGTTTCCTGTGCTGATCATGAACATCTTGATCTCTGTGCTGAGTGCAGCTACCTAAGCCAGAACCACTATTGCTTCAAAGCACTTGGGTGGGTCTTCAACGTGTTTCTGGAAAGCCACATACGGATGCTTCGGCTGGAAGACAAAACATACAATTCTGAGCCTTGAAGTCGTGAAGTTACCACAATTGATGCCTTCATGTGTGCACTAGTCTAGTGTACCAGGTGTACTCAACTTTTGTGCAAAAGCAGCTTCACCCCTGGTGAAGACCCGGACAGGTCTGGCTTGATTTTGCAATCAAGAATGTGGCGAGCTTTGAATGTGGTGCTAAATGAAACCACACAGCAGCCACATACCATCACATACCATCACATACCTGCATGCCTTCAGTTTGGGGGGCATACCTGTGAAGTCTCGAGGTATGGCTGGACTTTCAACAGGCTAGGGCAAGAAGAGTGCTTCGGTACAAGGTGCGCAGGACTTGCTTCAGCTCTACATGGGATCTTATCCATTTTTGGCCAAGGCAATGACTTATGCTTGTCGAAGACGACAATGTTGTCTCAGACCCAAGGAGCCCTGCATTATTTGGGTCTAATTTAATGTTAAACTCTATATATACTTATATATAGTAGTTTCTCTTGGCACAGGACAAAGCGTCCGATGGAAGTGCTTCAGGCCACCCTGGCCAGTTTCGTTGCAGAGTTGCAAAAAATGGCTCAGTCTCAGTTTGTGTGTTTTGCAGGTGGATGGTTGGATCTACTTTTATAGATGATTGCAAGTGTAGTTGCAAGATGTATGAAGTAAGCAACAAGTGCAACTTCCAGAGGGTGATGTTGCACACAGCCCCAACGTTGCCAGTGTCATCTACTTTCTGCCGAGCAGGCGCAACTGCGTGGCAGCATGTTAAGGTAAAGATTGCCAGCTTCTGAGGTGAGAAGCCATCCTATATTTGGTTTTCGGCTCCAAAAGAGGAGGACCGTGCTCAAAGAGCTGAAAAGTCATACATGCTTGTCCATTCTTCAGATACCAGGTAGATCCTGACAGAGCCGGTGGGTATGCAAAAATTGATAAACTATCGGAAGTGGTGGTTTCGGAGTCTGATGATCTTTGATGTTGCGATGTAATGCGCAATCCGCATGCGCCGGAAATTTAAAACATCGGGAGATGCCATGTCGTGGTTGGTCACGTAAGCCAGACTCAATGCAGTTCATGAAAGGCTCTTGATGTCGACGTTCACTCCCAATGATGTGAGTTGACCCAACCCTGTGAAACGACCTGATATAGTCAACTGCTAGAAACGACATGATAATTCAAACTATGGGACTATGTTCGATTTGCTGCACTTTGTCACCATGGAAATCATTTTATATAATTTTATCAAGTTCCACAACGCTGCGTGTGGGTAACGGTGCTATTGAATGAGGTGGTCACAGGCAAGCTGATCAAGCTGCGCCATTGACAGACTGCGCAACTCTCGCTCTGTTGCTGTTGCATGCTGTGCAAGCAGCCAAGCCTGGCAACCCACGGGCGGTGTGTAGAGCAACGGACCGCAAAATGTCTTGAGACGAAAGCGTTTTGCGGTCTCTAGAAGAAGAAGAAGAGATCAGTTCTGAGTGCCTTTTGCTGACGACCCGAGTCTTTGATGGAGAGCCAAGCCAATATCGAAGCGATAGCTGAGCGGTTTAGTGTACAAATCCCGGAGTGATCCCTTCCCCATTCAGGTGACACAGTACGATGCTAATGTCGCATGGACCGCATTGAAGACAGGTTGCTGGCAGGATCCCCCTTGGCAAACCGGTCAGTCGATTGGTGCTGGGTAAGCAAATGTTGGTCAATGAAGCTTCGTTCCAAAAATGGTACGTGTCGCACTGGCAACTGCTTTGGAGGGGATCTTTTGACAAGAGCAGCTTCTCAGTTTCTTGTTCTGACAGAAGCTTTACCTGCAGGTGAAAAGGTGCAAAGGACAACCAAACCCTGCAAACCGATGAAGATGATATAGGGAGCTACCAAAGCAATAACCACAGCGCGGGTGAGCATGGTTTGCTTGGAGGCTGTGCCTGTTGCCCACGTGGCGAAATAGGGCAGTAACTACATTTTGTGTGAAATGTTTGTTGTTCAATGACTCACCCAATGTCTGGGCTTATGTCGGGCGCGCCAGCCATAGATAGATACAAGGAGCCAAAAAAGTTTATAAAGCAACGAAAACCAAAAAAGGCAAAAGGTAAAGCAAACAAAAAAGCAACTGTGCGTGTGCGTGTTTGTCGCTTTTTCATTTTTTTACCCGCTTTATTTTCCCAATTTTTTCGCATGTTTTTCGCTTTTTTCCTAGGAGCGTACAGCAAATATTGCTGACGGGTAAAAGTTCTCACAAGTGCAGAAGTGGTACCAGGAAAAAAAACAAAACAAATGCAAAACCAAAGCAAATTGCGCTGCTTTTGCATGTTCATTTGCTTTTGTTTTGCTTTTTATTGGATGGTTGGTCATGGCTGCCATTGCCCAACATAAGTCTGGGCGATGTGAACCTTCTCCAGCACGTCACGTCGACCATGGCCGAGAGTGCTGCACAAATGCAACCGCTCCCATTGCATTTATGTCCCACAGAGGCTAGAATCCGCGTTTGTTGTACCCGTGCACTCGCACACGCGAGAGACTTGTAGCTCACCACTTTCTCTTTTGAATTTCCTTTTTAACTCACAAGTCGATTCTAGAAAGAGCATGCTGGCAGGAAGTGCTCCACCAAGACGTCGAACCAGGTCTCAATCTGAAGTTCAAGGCGCTGTTTGAGTGCATGTGAAGGCTTTGCATGAATTGCAGTTCAAGGATGTTAGAGGCACAATCAATTCAGTGTTTGCAGCCTCAAATTGTCAGTCCAGCTTGGCTACGGGCCAAAAGACGATAGGATTGCAGAACGCTAGCCGCTAGATCTTGGAAACCGATAGGGGACGGTCTAAGGGGACGGTCTAAGTTGAAAGCCCACATAAGAAAGGTTGCATGTAGCCTCATATGTTTCCTTTGCAGGAAGTCACTGAAGGTGCACAAAAACTTGATTCCAGGCGTGACAAGGGGGTTGCTGAGTCTTGTTGGTTGTCTGCATGTCGCATAGATGCCTGCATTCATAAATCTCATATACACATAGATAAGCAATGATAAGCATGTATATGTATATATATAGATACACTTGTATGTGATCTTTTTTTTTTTTTTAAGGGCTGACGCCCGACAGCCGGCCATGGTTGTCGTTGTTGTTGTTGTCGTCGTGGTTGTTGTGGTTGTGGTCGTCGACGTGGGCCTGTTGGGCCTATGTTGAGCCCATCTTCGGCCTACGGCGGCCCATCTTGGGCCTATGTTGGGTCATCTTGGGGACCTCTGTTGGATCATCTTCGGGCACACTTTGCGCAATTTATGTTGACACGGGCCCATCACCCAAAAAATATCAAAAAATGCCGATTATGCATGTCTGCGCGGTGCGCATTACCGACATCACCCTTGGAAAACACATGGTTTTTGCATTTCGTGACCATTTTCCCACCACGATTTTTTTATATTTATCACCCCCACAAAGCTCTGTAAAAAATAGTGCTTTTTGAACGTCGCAAGCAGAATCCACTGTAAAGCACAGGCGGCGGAGGTTGCCCCCCTGGCTCGGCGGCAGGGGGTGGACCCGCTCTCTCCTTCGAGGACACGGCCAAAGGGGCTCGGGCCCCTGGCCGGATTTTAAGGCTTACGCCTGACAGCCGGGCGTCGGTCCAACACGGGGCAAAAGTAGGACGGTAGCTTAGAGGGGATAGAGGCAAAAGACATGAGGCGACAGTGGCCGGGACGTCGGGCATCCCGTCAACATCCTTCAATGTGGAGGTCAGCCCGGGTGTATGTAAGAGACACCGAAGGTCGGGAGAGCCGTCGCGCTCTCTCTCTCTCTCTCTTTCTCGTTGGCTTGCTTAGGGTCTCTTTCCCTCCATGTCTTTCTCCCTCTCTTTCCCTCTCTCTCTCTCTCGCCTTTTGTTTCTGTCGCTCTCTCTCCGCCTGTTTCTCTCTTTCTTTCTTTCTTTCTTTCTGTCTTTATTGCTTTCTTGCTTTCTATCTGTCTGTCTGTCTGTCTGTCTGTCTGTCTGTCTCTCTGTCTCTCTGTCTCTCTGTCTCTCTGTCTCTCTGTCTCTCTCTCTCTGTCTCTGTCTCTTTCTCTCTCTGTCTCTGTCTCTGTCTCTGTCTCTGTCTCTCTCTCTCTCTCTTTTTGAGACTGTGCGGGGCCTATGTTGCCATATCTTGAGGCTATCTTGGCCCATCTAGGGGCTATGTTTCCCATATCTGGGACCTATGTGGGGTCATCTTGCGGCTATGTGTGCCATATCTGGGACCTATGTTGGGTCATCTTGAGGGCCTCTGTCAGAGCATCTTGGAGCACATTTTCCGCCTTTGATGTTGGCGCGCGCCGGGCACCCACAAAATGTCGATTATGCCTGTCCGCGCGGCGCGCATTACCGACAGGTCGGTCGGTCGGTGGGTCTCTGTCTGTCTCTGTCTGTCTCTGTCTCTGTCTCTGTCTCTGTCTGTCTGTCTGTCTGTCCTGCTGCCCTGTAGACTGCCCAAAACGGGCTGGCGTCACAGCGAGGGGTTTGGGGCCCGGCAAACGACACCATCTACTTCCACACCAAAGAGGGGCGAGGCGCCAGAAGCTCACTCCCAAGGCCCCCGGCAATCTGCTCCACCACGCTTTTCCACCATGGTATGGCCGCTCCCAGACAAAGCCGTAGGAGCCACAGTAGCAGCCGCAGCGAGCGGCGCAGCCAGCCAAAATGCCTAACGTTGCCTGGCACGTTGCGCAGAGGTCTAGTCCAGGGCTGGTGTCGCAGCGGAGGGTTTCAAGCCTAGCCAACGACACAATTTACCAAAAAGGGTGAGCCGCAGCCAACCAAAATGGCTAACGTCGCCTGGCACGTGGCCTTCGGGAGCCCATAAAACAGTTGCCTGGCACGTGCCAGAAGCTTCTAGGCTGGTGTGGCCAGTGAGCAGTCCAGCGGAGGGTTTCAAGCCTAGCCAACGACACCATCTATTTCCACACCAAAAAGGGGCGAGCCGCAGCCATAAAGCAAGGCTCCCGGCAATCTGCTCTGCCACGCTTTTCCACCATGGTGATGGCCACCAGACGGCAGCATGGCCACTCCCAGACAAGGCCGTAGGAGCTATAGTAGCAGCCCGTAGCGAGCGGTGCGGCTAGGGTGGGCCAAAACGGGCTCGTCGCAGCTTATGAGGTGCAGGCCAAGGTCTTCTAGGCTGGTGTGGCCAGTGAGCAGCCCAGGTGATGGCCACCAGGCGACTGTATATGTACACAGTACATGTTACTACCACTACGTAACTAGCAGCCAACAAACACATCCAAGGCAGTGAGGATCTCTCACTCCAAACGCTGACACCATACCAGTGAAGTCAAAGATGATAGTTTCTAGCGATGGCAATAGCAATGGCCTCCAACCTACTCGCGATGGCCTCCAAGCCAGTTCCAAACAGAACAGGTTCTGGATATACAACATGGCTTGGTCGTGAAGAACTTGCTATTTTCACTTCTGAGTGATGTCTAGACTCTAGACCGCAGATGTGACCGTCAAGGAACTTTCAATCACTGTCTAGTTATATACTCTTGCGACTTGGAGTTGGAAGCGGGATTGACGGAGTTGCCTCACAAGCCACCCAGAAGGGTTTCGAAAGTATACGTTCAGTCCACCATAGTAGCCAGCCTCCGGCACTGGTTTGATTTTCAATTGCAGGCAGTGGAACTTGGCTTTGGGCTATATATAAAGTAGTGGTGCTGTTGAAAACCATTATATACATTGAATCCAACCCTGACAAGACCCAGCGGATAAATCCAAAGCAATAAGTCTTGTTAGATCCAACGAAAGTTTGGAAACTATTTCCAAGAACATAAACGATGCACGGCTGCAGACAGACATATTGTGAAGACCCGTGTTTTGATTGCTGAGGACTTAAAACTGCAAGGTCAAACCTTGCCAAAGTGAACATCACAGAATGCAGAATGAGGGAAGGGAAGGGAAGGGAAGGGAAGGGAAGGGAAGGGAAGGGAGGGAAGGGAAGCGAAGATTCGCAAGAGAGAAGGGACGAGAGTGGGTTTGATGGAAATTCTATTTTTCCGATAGAGTCCGATAGAGGTAGCTAGTTTCTGAGCAGCACCTGCCGTCTGAAAACACGTGAGAAAGTGTTTAAACAACAACGTAAGAAAGTGATCTTCGGATGTGCGGTTTTGCCAGAAGCATGCTCAATGCACTGTAAAACGATCAGGAAGAAAAAGAACGATAACCCCCGGATAAGTGTGTTGAGTATGGACCAAACACTCTTGCCGGGTTTGCACCAGGCACAAAAACGATAACAGAAGCAATAACGCAGAGAGTGCAAAAATACATTCCTGTAGACAGGCCAACACATGTGATCTCCAGACAGTATGAGGGGAGGGATGATGTTTGGTGAGTGCACAGGCTTCTAGCATGGAATTGTTTGGAAGTAATTGTGCATACATATGTCTTCATGTTCACCGTATAATGCACATTCATGTTGCAGTCAGTCAAAACACTGTAAACCGATAAGGAAGACAAAACGATGACGTCAAAAGTGGTATAGGGAAACATAATTGGTCTTTCACACTACCTCATGTCAGGTTGAAAGAATTGGAGAAGAACATGCAGGCCGTTGGAGCATTGGGACTGGCTGTGACAGGCTTCAAGATCATGGAGTGCAGTGCACATGCATTCAGATACTGGTCGACACGACCACAAAGAATGAAAGAAGACGCGACCGGCCCGGATACAATGCTCTGAACACTGTAAATTGTAGTGTGCTGGGCTGGCTGGTTGCATGCACAACCTCTTTTGTAAGACCGGCATTCGTTCGCGCTTTTCCATGTTGATAAGGTGCCAAACAAACCTTCGACAAAGCGCAATTGCCTCAGTTTACCTTTGCACCACTTTCTGAAGTTGCACCATCCTGCAGGTTTACTCCTCAAGGAACCGCAAACCCTGGCTTTACTGCTTAGGATTTCTGCTTCCAATGTGTTGGTGCGACAGCAAAGGGCAAGTTGTCGTAGAGTTTCAATATGACAAGCACAGACTTACTTGGGCCGACAGCGAATGCATTGGGAGCTGTAGTTCGTTTGCAAATGCATCCACTTGACTCCAAGCTTGGCAAAGCCAAGCGTGGTGCGGTGAATTCTTGCCCTAGTCTCTGACGGGCCCTGGGGCGAGTAAATAGCTTGCTGTGGTTTGCTTCTTGGTGCAAGGGCACATAGGAAGCAAGCACTTGCAAGCCTTGGGGCTGAATGCCACCATTATGGAAAAGTACCGCGATGGTCTTTGCTTGCCCTAGCTTGTTGCCTTGTTGCGATCAGCCACTGCTTCAACTGCTGATCAGCCACTAAGATGTTCTGATGTGACCTATGCTCGTTCAGCAGAGTACGTAAGTCATCACAGGCATCCATTGCAAATATGCTCCAAATTGCTCCAAGCATTCTGGAAACAAACTCAGCAAAGCAAAACAACACTCTTATTTCGAAGAACCCATGCACAGTCGAGTTGGCTTTCGACCTTGGGATCAAATATCAATCCAGCGCTCTTTGCTCTCAGCCGTCTCAGCCATAATCTGAAGCCACTGACAATCCGCCCATCCAAGCGGTGCTATGAAGCCCACGGTCCCGACAGTGCTATGGATGGGATGATTTTCGCCCAACTGTTGGCCCCTTGACCAGGCAACAGCTGAACAGAAAGAAGGTAAGCAGGTGGGTCCTTTGACAACGGGCCGTTTGTTTTTGTAAAACTGTTAAACTAGTTATATTCGTTTTGCTCTTCATTTCAACATGATGCGACTGGCCTTCACTGGTACTCGTATCAATGTTGAGCCAGGTGGATGTCTGCCCGAAGTATGACGTCTGCTGATGCGAACCTGCGGTGGGGTAGACCGAATCTAGGTTCAAGATGCGACTGCTGTTGCTACATACAGCTTTAGAGTTGAAGTATAAGTTTGTCGAAGAGTACACTTAAGCAGCACGAGGTAGCCGAGGTAGCAACACAGTACAGCATGCTAACTTTCATAGTTTTCAATGTAGTGTTGCAACTCAGGAAGAATGCCTCGGCTCCTCCATGGCGACCTGCAGCTGAGGTGCAGAAAATAGACCGCCGTAAAATACTGTAAATACGTACAAATACGACAATAAGCTACTAGGAACAAGTGCATCGCTTCTAGTAACAAGTGCCTTACTAGTAACTAGTAGTAACAAGAAGCTAGTAGAAACAAGACTTAGTAATTAGAATTAAGTTAAATTAGAACGTTTGTAAGAAGGCTCATGGCAGCTGAAGACGTGCTGTATACGAACTCGCATGACTGAGAGTTAGGTTCAATGCCGTAGCATACATTGGGGAAGCATACCTTTTAAGGTCCCACCATGTCATTCGATGTTTGCTGCATTGTTGAGAGAACCCAGCGCGTCATTAGTGCGCAACATGAAGCAGAGTACAGCCCTCCTCTTTCCCCTCAGCTTTGATACCTTGCAAGGACCCCCCATGGCGCCGACTTAAGGACAGCCAAAATCAAGATTGCTTTATAACTTCTCTTGGTGCATTCACTCACTATCTTGCAATAACGATGCTTTGTCTTCTCGCTCCTCCAGCCGCTCTTCCTCCTTTATCCTTTCTGGCCTTTGCCCCCTCCATGCCTCTCTTTCTCTCGGCTCTTGCTCACTATGCCCTGTCTGAGTTTCAACCAGTGAGGAGACGCGCAGCGAGACCCAGGCCTTACTGCGCTTGTGGTTTAACAGCTTGCAGCTTTCGCACCGTGCAGGTGTCGATGCAACAAGGTGGAAGCAGCGCAAGCGATTGCAGGCGGAGCCCCTCAAAGGACCCTCCTTGCATCCAGTATTCATTTCAGAAAGTGAAGGTCACTATATAAATTCAAGGTCACTATACCATGATACCTGACACATCCTGACACATTGACACATTTAGTCTCTCCGGATCTACAGGGGATTGGTGTGCTGACGCCCCGCACCACATGCAAAATCCCGATAGCTGTAAGAATCCTCCCTTTCATTGGAACACACAGTTTAAAAGATGTTTCTAAGAAGTCTCGAACAAGCTATTTTCAAGAAGCCATACAAGGAAAAGTTCTGCAAAGGTCTTGCTTCCAGGACCAACCTGCTCAAGCTGCTCAAGCTGAAGCCAGAAACAAACCTGAGAAACCTGAAGAGAAGTCTCCGAGGGGAGAAGAGAGCCTTCCAGGGAGGCCAGAAGAAAGGCTTCCAGAGAAGTTGGAGGAGAAGCCTCCAGAAAGGCTTGAAAGCACGGCCAAGGCAAGATTCTCAGAGAATGCTTTTTGGGTTTGGTCAAGTCTCAAATTCTAGCTTGTCAAGCGCTTTGCTGTTGTCAGAGTCAGTTGTACAAGGCTCCCACAGCAGAGGCTTCTAGATGAGCGCTCAGCATTGTGGGATCTAGATTCGAAAGTCTAAAAGAGATCAAAAGCATGACTGCAGCTGACAAATCAATGATTGCAAGGAGAATTTGAGATTGGCGAGAAGGTCCGATACTGGAGCGGAACCCACGCGAAATGGGCCCGGTGCCTACAGAGCCCGCAGCGAAACTTTCAACATGTTTCCACTTTTGTCTCAGGTGGAGGCGCATGTCCAACGAATCAATAAAGGACCAGAAGGCGATCTCATCTCCTATGACTTGACTGCAAAAGCGCAGGCGCAATCACTGCACTTTCAGCATCAAAATCATCAACTATCCACAAGTATCCATATGCTGTAGGACGGGATACCTTCGGGATACCTTTCATGATCACTGCATAAGTTCACTGCAAAAGCAAAAGCATTGGTAATTGGTGAGGCAGATATTTCTAGAGTGAAAGATGCCTCCACAGCAGAAGATGCGTTGTGACCTCAAAGTCCGCACAGCCTATCAGAAGCAGTCTCGCACGAGCAAGCTCGACAGAACTCTGTTCATTCTTTTGGAGTTTGGAGTTTGTTCAAGGCCTCCACCTGTGGCTGGAAGCTGAGAAAGATTGAGAAAGAGTAGTTGCTGTTTGCAAGAAGGAGGTTCTTTGTGTGCGTGGAAGTAAGGCACCTGCCAGGGTGGCTCCACATGAAAGTGCAGATGGAAAGGCGGCAGATCAGGCAGAAAGACCTTGTCAAGATTTCTCAATTCTCAGCAGAAAGATCTTATGGTCGTTTTCACGAATCTGGTCCGAAAGGTCCCTGAACTCCAGTTCGACAAAGGGGTAGAGGCGCCTGGGTAATCCTGCGTAGCCTTGGTGGAAGCTGTGCAGCTTGAAATTGGGCGGATTTGAAGATGTGATTGACTCGACCAACTGTTTGAGGCTCTACTTGTACTTTAGTAGCATTTTTCTGACGACATTAACACATGCTGTGTGTGTGCTAATATGATGCACGCCGACTGGACTGCTTCTGAGCTAAAGACCAGTTCACATATAGTATAGCAAGCGATAACAGTGAAATCATGAGCAAGACTGCGGGCCTCACTTTCGTTCCTACGAAAATGTTGCTCACTTTTGTCACACTCTTGTTGCCACTTAGAAGCTCCGAGTGAACCTCCTCTACCTGGGAGAGCAGCACGGCAAAGGGGCGTGCGACCGCTTTTTCGGTTGGACGAACACATGGATCTTCGATCATCTTCGAGATCACCCAATCCACGGTATCAAGGATCTGGTGGACGTATACAGAAAGGGAGGTGCCAACATCATGCAAAAAGACCCCAATGGGCCACTCTTCGTTGTCCGCACGTTTGAGCCAGGCAAGTTCCGCCCCACGCAGCGAAAAACTTTTCAGCGCAGCCCTTTCAAAATTACAAGGACATACAGCTTCACAGCTGAAAAGAACTTACGCAATGAGACTGCCACCATCCGGAACAACGTTTTCAGTGACTTTAAAGCCCAAGACACCCGTGCCCCATGGACCATTTCTGAAACGCATGCTGATGAGCCAGAGCAGCGGCGACGTGGGTATTACGATAAGCCACGCTCTTGGGAAAGTGTAGGCCCACAAGCTGGAGACATCAATGATGAGCTTGCCAGGCTGCCCAAAAGTCCTTTGAGTCGTTTGTCAGTTCAGCCATGCCACGGCCAAAAAGGTCCATCGAAGACAAGCTCTCTGCTAAAGCCCGTGCTGTGAGCCGACAAGCAGCCAAGAGGCGAAGGCAAATGTCATTTGTGAGGCGCCAAAAAGAGCAAACATTTGATACTGCCGCTGCTCCATCCTCGCCTTCATCTTCTTCTGCATGGTCTTCATCCTCGTCGTCATCAAGTGGATCTTGAGATGTGGCTGGCTCATGGAAAAATGTCTTGCTGCGTAAGCAAATCCTTTTTGGGGGAACCTGTCGGAATCATAGTTGTCTCATGGCGTAAGCTTTGCGTAAGTGTTTTGTTAGCCAAGGCCTCACGTAAGCTAAAACTGTGGTAGCGTAAGCGACGTGCAAGCACAAGCGTAAGAACTTGATACGGCATAGAGGTTGAATTTAAATCATACGTTTTGGCCGAAGCTCAACTGTCAAGATTCTGCAACTGTCAGGATTCCGCAACTGGGATTCCGCAATATGCCACAGCTGCTAAGAACCACTCCATGATTCTGTCTGGCCTAAAACTGATGAGGAGACTAGTCAACTCTGCAGTCACTGCAACCACCTCTCCCTCTGCTTCTGCCATCTTCTCTGGCTTTGTCTTCTTTGGAGCCTCTTCTACTTCTGTTTCTGCCGTCTTCTTCTCCTTCTTCTTTGGAGCCTCGCTCCTGAAACACCTCAACCAGGATCACAGTGATGGCTGGAGAGACCTGACAAGATATGCTGAGTGACATTGCAGCGCACTGCGGAGTTCATCAAAGGGACCACGTCTGCACGGTCTACTCCCAGCGTGCTCTCATTGTTCACCACGATCTCTTCAAGCTGCAGGAGGCTTCAGAGGACAGCATACTCAGCCACGCTCTCAAACTGGATCTCATGGCACTCAACCCTGCAGTTGCGCTGGCCTACCCGGACTTCGACACTTGGCTGGCTGGCTAAGGGTATGTTCACACACACACTAATGAACCTCAAACACTGCGCATTCGTCTGTGGCAACATCATGCCAAACAGGGGAGCTCTGCGCTATCAGTACTTGAAATTGTATTAGAAGCGCGCCAAAACATGCTCTGCTTGCCGCCGCATGAGACTGCAGCCGTCGAATGCTGTGTACCTCTCCAGATCTCAGCTCTACTTGTCATCCTCCATCACGGGCACCATGGCCGAGGACTCAGTAGGTGAAGGAGATGAATGCCCTGACAGCAATGGATGGCCGTGGATCAAGAATCCCTCAAAGAGGCCAAGATCCACCATGTGGAATAACGCCGGGGCCAATGATTTTTTTCCAATGGCCCGGGCACAATTCTGCCACAGGTCCTCAGCAGGATTCAAGCATGGCGTCAGACACCTGTCGAGGAACGACCCCTGCCCTTGAGGATCACCTTGAAGACCCTACTGGAAGCCCTGCGGTCGCCTGCTGAAACTCCAGCACACCGCAGCCAATCAGGAGGTGGCCCAAAGGCTGATCAAGATGAAGTACATGGTCATCGTGGCTCAAACGACACCTATGCCTTTCCAAAAGCTTGGAGCCCCACAAGGATTATGCCCTGACACTCCAACAGGCGATCCATGCATTGCAGCGTATCATGACTCTCCTCACGCAGCGCAGCCCCATCATCCGTTTCGGCGCTCTGCGGCCTACACCACAAATTCAAAAAACGATCGAGACAGAATCCAAGCAGGGCCACCTGGCCATTCCATGGAGATTGAACGGCCTATGGACAATCTCAGTCATCTGGGATTGTGGCAACTAGTGGCCGCAAGGCTTTGACCTGGGAATCTTCACAGACAACCTTTGTCCCCTCTGATGCCGGACTGATCAACGGGCAGATGGATTGAAAGGCCATCTCTGGGCCCAAGCATCCAAGCAAAAGCAACAGAAGGGGTGGGTGCGGCAGGTTGGCGGGGAACGAGTCAGACAATCTTCGGGCTGCAGCTGACGCCAGCTTTGATGAGGGGGGGAGCTGCGTTCGTGGGAATTGCAATTCAGAATGTTTGTTTCAGAACGCCAGTTGCAGAATCCCATTTTCCAGCTTCAGAGAATCCCAGTTTCAGGATCCAAGTTTCAGAACCCTAGTTGCAGAATGCCAGTTTTAGCCGATTAGTTTCCGAATCCGGCTCTAACCTGCCCCATTCACTTCACCTGTCACCCCTCAAGAATTCGCAACTCTTTTCTTGAAATAAGTGAAAGGACAGAAGCGAAGCATAAGCGTGAGTTTTCATGACTTTCATTTTGGGACAATATAGGTTGCTCTGAGGGCGGGTGGATGGCCATGGGTGGTGGGCCATTTTCGCTCAAGAGGAATCCGTCCTCTCATCGCCTTCGGGGGCTTGTGGCCACGGGCATTTCGGGCATCATGATCGTCGCGAGCGCCCTGTTTCAATTCGAAAATGTTCCCGTCCGAGCGTACGGCCAGCTGTCCGACTTGAGGAACCACTTGCTTAGGACGAGAATGGAGAAGATGTGATGAAGTTGGAGCTTTGACCCCGCGAGTGTCCGCTGCTGCCTTGGGCTAGAACACCTTGGCAAACGCCCGCCCAAGCAGTTGAGGAGTTTGAGAGGCGGCAGGGGCTGGAACGACTGGGTAGAAGAAGGTTGTTGAAGCAAGAGAACAACGGACAGCCCCAAAGCAAGGCCAGCAGACTCCGAGGAGAAAACGGAACGTAGTTCCATCTGATAGTTGGAACTTTTTGGCTAAAGACATCTGGGCCTCAAGTTTCACAAAAGGCCGCGTTGTTGCTAAATCTGCGCTTCAAAGTTTACAAGTGCAGCGCCTGCCGCGAAATCTGCGCATCAACATTCACATCGAGCAGCCAACACAGCAAACACATTCCAAAGACAACATCAAAATGTCGTCTTGGACTTGGTGGTGGTCTTTGGCGCACTCTGATGTTGTTTGAGTCGCAGTGGAGCATGAACTTTGGACATGTGGTCCGTGTGCAGAGGTTGGAGGAAGTGGTATCGAACGAGGGTTGCGTTTTGGAATGTGCATCAAAGATCATCAAAGTAAATAGGTTCCGAGCTCCTGCGCTTGCCACGGAAGTCAATTTCAAGCCACCAAAGCCATTCCATTGCGCTTGCCACGACAAGTGACCACCAAATCCGAGAATGCGCGCGTCACAGCAACGACAGTGCAGTCGAGGAAAGCGCCCGCTGGGGCCCAGTAGTTTGTGCGAACTTGAGCAGTCAAGACGCACTTTGATGATCTCGATGGTCAATACATGTAATCTATATATATATATATATATATCTGTGAATTACTAAACGACGCCTTTCAGCACCTCGATCAAAGCCCAGTCTTAGCCCCCACTGTAAGAACCCTACTCTGACCACACTGTTTGGGGAACAAAGGAGCTCGCGTGCCGTTGCCATTCCCTTGTTCGGACGTGGAAGGTCCAATATTTTAGCGAGACCAGGAAAGGATGGATTGATGCAGTGGTCACCTGGCAGCACTTGTGTTTGTTCTGCATGGCGCTGACTCCGGAACTCTTGCATCCAGATATATCTTAGGTCGAGGAGCGGCATGATAAGGATGGGGTCAATTATGTTCAATCAAGGTCGTTCACTTGCGCCTGACGCGGTGTGTGCTAGCAGAGTGTTGCTGCAACCGCAAAGTCCCGCTAGGAGGGCGCTGTCATATATGACCTGAATTGCAAAAAGGGTGTGCCAGCAGATCGCTTACGGAATCCACATGTTGAATACGCAGCGCCAACCTCAGCTTGTAATATTTTTCATTCGAAGACCTGAAAAAAGTAACAAATTCTGCATGCATCGTTGAAACTGAAAGGTCGGGGAGCAAGTGGAATATTGGAGTGTGACATCTCAACGTTGGATGCCTGCCATTGTGACTTGAATGTAACTCGAGCACTGAGGTGTGAAATGCGTTCAAACGAAATCACATGAACTTGGTTCTCCAAAAGGAATTAGCCTCAACCCTCAAAATTCATCAAAAGTTCTGTCATTGCCCATCGTGAAAATTGAGAGCCGCCAAACTCAAAGATGAATCTTCAATGCTTTCAGCGTGTGAATCCAAGGTTGAACACCTCCACGCAGAGGCCATGATGTATAGCTATTGCCACAAGAGGCAGCCCCAAAGGCCAAACAGGTCTGGAGGTCTGGAGTGTCAATAATATGCTTGGTTTGAATCGTCGAACGAAAACAACATTTTCGTTTTGTCTACTTTCTCTTACTGCAACTCGCCGTTGCCTTTCTTTTTGCTTTTTAGCATCGCTTTTCCTTGGTCCCATTCAACATGGACCTTGTATGACAATAATGTTGCAAGGCTACAGTGTGCGATCTGAATTTACACACATATGTATATATATATACAATTTGTTAATAATTGATTTTGCAGTGTAGTGTTTTGTGATCTTTGTGTGGCTTGCTCATCCTGAGAGTGAGGCCAAGACTTGCGACCTCAGTGTGAAACCGGGGGCTCCTTTGAGCAGAGTGCGAAAGGCCAGACGTCGGAACATGTTGAGCTGCTTAACGACTGACCGATCTTCACCGATCTCCGGTGCATTCAAGAGCATTCAAGAAAATAACCACAAAGTGTAAAGTCAGGGTCGATCATAGGTTGGAGGTTGCAACCTTTGCGCAAAGCCTGCAGAGCTGACTGGGGGTACAGAACATTACAGAACTCATGCTTGAAAACATTTGCTTTCTCAGCTCTCTACAGGTTCCTGGCAGTGCCACTATGGCACCGATTTTCAAGGCCAAGCTTTGTGTCGACAAGTGGGAGAAATGCGAAACTATTTGCAGTCGACAAGTCAGCCAGGGAGTTCGGGCGACGATCTCGCATGGAGTATTTGGCTGAGATTCGTAGTTCAACTGCCTGTTTCTGCTTCTTGCAATCCCTTTCTTGTGACTTTAGATTGTATGGAGAATGTTTGGCACCAAGTATCACACTCGGAGGTTGGCGTGCCTCCTCCACCGTTGGCATGCAGTTTCAAAGGAGGTGACCAGGCAGGTCGGAAATGAGATTGTGTGCGCCCTGCTGTTTTTTCATATAACAAAGGTGCAGTACTACAGCGAGACAAAGCAGCGATGGATGGAGACAACAGTTATCCGGATATACGAACAGGCCCTTATTGCCAAAGCTTCGCTCATGTGTTTGGCAACATCAGATGCTGACGTGGATGCTATGCACATGTCTTCAAGGAAGGCAACATTTGCTACGACCTCGACTGCAAGAAGGGCGTTTTTGCTGACAAGGTCCGAAGATGGAAACTCTAGGACCAGGAGAGAAGTGCGTGATTGTGATTGTTTCAATGCTACTTTATGATGCCTTATGTTATTTTATGTCTTTATGTTAGCGGTTCGTTGCATGCAACATTGCGGTGCGTTTTTCCTCAAGGTCCGTTCGTCTCTGAGGGCCTCTCAGGAGCGCTACGAGGCCAAGTCTAGATGGTAACCAGCTGTAAGCAAGATTGGCATACATATTTTTGACCACAATCGACAACAATCGACTTTCTCCAAATTTGCATCTTTCTTTCTTCACAGGTCGGTGAGTCTGTGGAGTATTGGAGTGTTTCGGCTGGACGCTGGCTGAGCGCAAAGGCTTGCCTCAAGGCCTTGTCCTTGCACTTGCTTTTAGTGCTTCCATATATGAGCAGGTGACCAGAGTCCGCCTGGATCTTGGACAGTGCGACCTGGATATCAAGTTCTGGGCTTAATTATACTTGGCCGTACAAAGAAAGCAATTGAGATAGACACATTTTTTTTTTTGGCATTTAGCATTAGACATCGAGGATGGCGGCGCCCATTGGAAGATTGCGACGTTCGCAGCAAGTAGCGCCGGAGTTTGTGAAACCCAGCCCTCCTCAAATTGAGCTTCCTGGGCTTCAACCAGCTCCACATGGGCCTCCAGAGTTTCCGCAGGGTCCAAATCTACCAACACCAGTCCCTCCAGTCGTTCCGCAAGCTCCAGCCCCAGCCCCAGCAACGCTTGGCCCGGCGATGCCACCAGCGATGCCTCCAGCGATGCCAGCAATGCCGCCACCAAGTCCACCCAGCGGCCCAAGCCCACCAGGCCCACCCGAACCTGAGATGGAATTGACACAGCCCGAACAAGTGAAAGAAGGGAAAGAGAAGAGCCCAAAGAGACAAGATATCCAAGAAAGCTTGCCGAGAGTGACGGAGAATCTAGAGAAGCAGGAGAATGAGGAACGGCAGAAAGCCCCAGAAAGAACTTCAGCACTTCCGGAAGGTCCAATGGAAGTCGCTGATAAATCCGATAAATCCTACAGTGTGCTACAAACTGCACCACCAGAACGCAAAGCCGCGGAACGCAAAGCTGCGGAACGCTTTGCGGAAGGGCCAGCTGTCCAAGAGGAAGAACGTGCAACAAAGCTGCCTGTTCAACTTCCTGCACCTCTCCCCGCAGCCTCATCCACACCAGGAGCCCCGCCCCTTCCACAAACTCAGAGTGTTCCCCGAAGGCCTGTAAGGTTGCCTGTGCCTCTTACCCCACCTCCAGACCGACGAGGAAACCAAGGAAACCATGCAAGATTGGGAGAGCACAAAGAAAAGGAAGACCCGAAACAGAAAGAACTGAAAGAAGAGCCAGAAGTCCGGAAGAACGAAGCGAGAGAAGAAACAAAGAAGGAAGAACAGAAGAAAGAAGAACTGAAAAAGGAAGAACCGACGAAAGAAGAAGTGAAGAAAGAAGAGAAGCGAGAGAACGAAGCGTTTCAGAAGAGAGAGGAAACGCCCGAAGAGGAAGTAGACTATGACGACGATGAGGTTGATGGTCTTCAGAGAGAAGACGTCGAGAAAGAAGACAGCCAGCCGAATGTGGATTCGCCCGAAGGAGAGTCTCAGGGAAAGGACAGCGGGCAGGTTCCGCAGAGTAAGGAGGAAGCGGGACAGGACAACGGAGAAGCAGAACTCAAGCCCGAGGCCACACTTCAATGTCTGCAAAGCGCAAGTGCACAATGCATGGAAACACAGTGTCTCTTGCAATTGCCATAGAATTTTCATGGATGCTCACCTGCAGTATCTTTCTGGCCTTATCAATCAAGCGTTTGCTCGCATGAAAGGAAAGAACCCAGTTAGAAGGACTCAGTATATAGATGCATCCAAAGGCATTTGGTCATTTGGCAATTCTTTTGTCTACTGACTTTGTTTTGTGTTTGAGCTCTCCAGGTGCAGCCTTTTCGTAGCTAGTTTGGTCACACACCACAAGTCTTGCATGAACAAGTACTGGTACAGCTAGGAGCAGCATGTGTCAGTGACGCATGCCATGCCCTTGGCGTTGTGGCTTGGGCCTGCGACACATGTTGCCTTTCTGACCTTGAGATCTGCTGCGCAAAGCACGCCACTTGACACTCTAAATCAGTTGCTATTATTGCCATAATATGCCATAATTATATAGCAGATGTGTTGATATTTGGCTGCGAGCTTTCGTGCATGTTACTGTGCATGTGGTGTGATGTTGGGCGCTATTGATGCGGGGGAGAAGGGGGAGAGGGGTGAGAGCGGGGGGCGGGGAGAGTAGACGCTATTTGCATGTTTATAACGACGCAGTGAAACTTAAAACATATTATAATACTGTATACTATTTTTTTTGCAGGTCTTGAAGTTCTAATTAGCTGTAACAAAGTCATTTTTTGAGGACCCCTAGTATGTAACAGCTATTCACTACTTGTACATGTCTATCTATTTAGCTACGGGTCACAAGATGTCACAAATGTGTATATCCAACCGTTACAATTTGGCTCAAGGAAACAAGCGCGTTCCCGTGCTGTTTCCGAAGGGTGCCGGGTGTTTCTGGCCTGTGGCCGGTACCCCTTTTGTCGCTTTCGCTTCCGCACTCTTCGCTTGCCTTCCGTTTGTTCGTTCGCCGCCGTGCCTTCGTTCGTTCGGCTCACTCTCGTGCAACGGGGTCTCGTCCGTCCGACTCGCCCCGCACACCCATTAATATAGATAGGGCATCCAGGGATTTAGCTTATTTCTTTTATCACTTACCTGTTGATAGAATAAGCTGGGCGTTCCCCTACGTCCCACCTGGATTGTTCACTCAATTGGTTATCAGCCGTAGCTCTGAGCTACAGGCAACACTCGACCCCGTCGAGTGGTCCATCGCGGCACGCTTTTCGTACCTTCGCAGACCACCGATGGGCCGAGTCAACCCCCAGCCGCAAGCAACCGGCGCCGCCTCAGCTGCAGCACCAGCCACGGCGCTTGCTGGGGATCCTCACGATCAAGAGGCACTCGCCTCCCCTGAGGAAGTGGTTGGAACCGCGCCTAGCGCGGAGACCACGGACCAAGAGCTCGAAGAGGCACCAGACGCCGATCCTCTTCTTGCTCCCCGGGTCGCAACAGGCATCTCCTCATCACAACCCACCTTCACACCGCCCGGTTCTGTAACCGCCGGTGCGGAAGAACTTGAGGAGAATCAACAAGACCTCGTTGCAGAGCCAACCACCAAAGAGTTGCCATTTGAAACCAGCACCCTTGGTGCATCTAACGCCGAAACCCCTCCCATCGAAGCAGAGCTCCAGACCGGAACCGCTGCTTCGCGCGGAGAGGTCTCGGACGCTCAGGACGATTCGTTAGGCCCCGATAACGCCGAGGAACCGCCCTTCGATGCCTTCTCCCTATTAGGCCCACCAAAGATAGAGCCGACCACTAAAGAAGAGGAAGTTGAAGAGTTCGCTGATCCCTCAACAGCCTCGGTAGGCCTACCACCACTGCATACCCATTATCACCCCACACAATTCGATTCGCTGGCCACTGATCCAGTGTTCGATGAGGAGGCGGTGGATTACGGAGACGAGGACCTCGACGACGATATAGTCGACCAGCCGGAGCCCGTAGTCAAAGGTGAGCAGGAGGTGGACGTGGGTGATGAGGAAACCGCGCCGAGCGCGGAGGCATCTCAACCAGCTTCAACGGCCGTCGATCCACAACCCAAGCGCACGCGCGGGGCAAGGGGAGGCCAGAAGCACCAATTTGAACAAGCAGACAAAAAGTACGCGATCACTTGTGATCTCATTGCGAGTCACCTGTCAACCCTCACGTACCGTCGAGTTGGTAGGACCTACCAATTGTCGTTCGTGAAACCGCTGTTAGCGCGGAAGGACTACCCTGAATGGTATAAGTACGTAGTTCATCATGCGGACGCTTGGGCTGAGACTCCCGATGAGGGTAACATCTCCGACGGAGCTCTCAGGGCATGGGCAGCTATCCTCCCGGAATTCTGGTCACGGTGCTCCCGCTATATGCCGGATATAGTGCAAGGGGTTAAGCAACCCATGTACCGATTTCCCCCAGGTTATTACAAGAAGACCTACAAGTTTATTAATGTAGACTCTTGATTAATCAACCCCCCCCCCCCC